CCCCAAAACCCCAAAACCCCAAAACCCCAGGGTGAATACTCAACATTGGATGATAAATACTTAACCCTAATGTTCTTTCCTAATATTAAGTCCTTATCCTTAATGTCAGTATTGGTTAATTATGCTTGATGTAGGGATCATATAATTTTAAGGTAAACATCTCTCTGAGAAAGGACAACCGTAATGAGCTTCTCTGGTTTAGTTGCAGCATTCGAATGGAGTTTCTAATGACAAGAGATTCAATGCTCAGATTGAATGAGATTTGGGGAGAATACAGTGGTAGAACAGTTGTTTGCCTCAATTTAACTGCTCAAGAGCTTGGTTGTGTTGATTAAGTAGGACTATTTATAGCTCATCTGATCTAGGCACTTATACTGGAATCTGAGTGCATGTTTTGTGACAATTCACAATTAGCATCTTCAAGTGATTATTTATAAGCAATAATTCTCCCTGCTCTTATTTTGAGGTACTTTTGCTAAACTGTATGACATTTCACATATTCAGCATCTAGGGAGACTATATATCAAAACTTATTCTAGTAAATGATTCCCTCTCTCATATTCTAAATTTTGATAAACTATCAGTTACAAATCTTACAGCGATTCCCTCTATTATGTAGAGATGTTGAATTTCTCGGAATTTATGGACTCCTCTTTCCTTCACCCATACAAAATGTTATATTCTGAAAGACTTTTAAAGAGCTTCTCATAAAAAGTGTTTCTGATGACTCATTCTTTGCTCCTAAGAACCTAACAAGCCCCCTGATTATTTTCGGAAGTTATGAAGCGTATGACTACAGTAAGGAAGCAACTCAATGTTGGAATATTCGGCTACCTCATCCCTCCCATCAAAGAGGAAATAGCAAAGTCTGGCTGGCCTACAACCACCTTGGCTTCACGTTTGCTTCAGAGGATATGAACTATTAGCTTCCAGACATGCTCCTGGCTAAGTGGTAACACTATCCTCTCTTAAGTTAGTTATCTAATTTATCCTAAATGATTCACCAGTGCGTTCTGAGGAGTTTCCTGGGAAGCACGAATAGTTCATTATCGACCGAGAGAGCCTGCCCTTATATTAATTAAGAGGTAAAATAAAAGCGAGTCTTTGTACTACTCAAGACTAAACTTGACAAAGTATGCCTCTTGTGCATTATTTAGCCAGCCAGAGTTGATAGGATAGGGGAAGTTAGGAAGTTGGAGGACAATTGTTGAGCTAATTTTTATTCAAAAGGAAATCCATATTCCGTTACAATTTGATCGTTTTGCTGTTGAGAGGTTTCCGAGTTGAAGATTCTGACTCTCTTGATGCTCTTATGGAGATCTGATGATTTAGATAAGCCTGAAATGAGTCCATCCAGCTCATGTAAGTTTCTATTTGTCTTATCTCTGTTTTCCACCTTTATATCATTCAATTTAAGTTGGGACAGAGTTGTGCCTCTGAATCAGTCTGAAAAGTCTGGACAAGCTGGGAGGCAAAGTGTGGAATGGGAAATTGTAAGAGATTTTGTATGCTTGGCGGCTGAAAACAGCCTCTTGAGTTGCTTCATGTTCAGGCTAAAGATATTTGATTGATCTTACTTTCCCAAACAATTACAGTAAAAATTTGATGTTGTGAGCATACTTGTGCGAAGAACCAAATTGAAATGCAAAGTTGATTTATCGAATTTATTTCTGGAAACACTGATCTCTTTAATCCTGGCCGAAATGGATTTGGATAAGAACTCTTTCATATTGAAGTTTGTCAAAGATTGATTACAAAATGAAACTGTTGAGTTTGTAGGCATCACAAAGCGAGAGAGTTGTTTTATCACTTTTTGATCTCTAAATTTTTGAATTACAATGAAAATACTTGGATAGATTAGCATCGAAATAAAGGTTCCAACTTGGTCGAACATTTAGTCTGAGCTTCATGATGTTTCAAAGAAGATTGGCACAGATTCGAGTGTTAATATCCGTTGACTCTCCCTGAATCTGTTCTTCTCTCCTAAATATTGATGTTTACAGCACCCAAAGATCACAAAAATAGGTTAACGATAGAGAATTAATAGACTAATAAAATTTAAACTCTTTCATAAATTTTTATTTTCTATAAAATAGTATGATTTTAAGTAAAGCAATGGAAACTAGACTAAAAGCAGGATTAATAGATTAACCGAAAAGAGCAAGCATATTATAAATTCTGGAAATCAACTTCTGTCATGGGACACTCTTCATAATTATCCATGCACTCTTGAAAATTCGGAATTGAAACTTCTTGAAAGACAGCTTACTTTCTTCTCTGTTTCAGATTTAGACTTCTCTCCACTATATTTGAGATTAGTAACCCGATACACTAATCTTCGGAATTAAGATTATAAAGATTGATCAATTTCAGTATGAAAGAGCTCGATGATCTCAGGAATTTAACACTCTTTAAAGCTGGGAATTACATTCATAGCCAAATCAAAAATTCTTGGTAACTAATCCCCCTGCGTCCTCTAAATGCAATCTAGCAAGTAATCAAGCCCAGCTTTAGAACGAGTCTTTTGATGCTCGCCAGCAAGCTTAGCACAAAGAATGCTGCCTCAAGTAGGTATGAATAAGAAGGGAGAATATAGAACTGGTAGGCTCTTAACTTTGTTCCATACCTTCTGAAACCGGAACTTTATGTGTAAACTCCCTTGTATCTAGAGACTCCATTTAAGTATTTTAATATTATATAGTACGGATCCTGTCTCCGGGGTTTTGGGGTTTTGGGGTTTTGGGG